ACACTCAACTTAGCGTAGAGAATACCCTAGCAGACGGAAGAGATTGATTAAGCACTGAATCTAGCTAAGTTGTCTCTCTTGTTCTGTCTTTAATACAAAGAGGCTTGAATGCTGCACAGAAGAAATGGTCTACTGGGTTCTCATCACCCTTGCTGTTAAAATCCAGCATATTTTAGTCACATTACTGCGGCTAGTTCGTGTCTAAGGATACCAAGAGAAGATAAAGAAATAGCGAATGCTTTAATTCTTGCCAAAAATGCTTATCTAATACAAAAATGTGGAAAGGCCAACTTTATGAGAGAAAATGATTTGTAAGTACCTGGAATTTTTGATTCGGCTTATGCTTAAGTATTGGAGATCAAGCCACGTCAAGCTTTGGATTTTGGGCTTGAGTAAGTCAGAGGAGGTCTTATTTGTCTCTTCAGGTAGACACGAGAAAAAATCATTTAGGACAAAATTTGACAATTAAGGAGCTCGCATGCCTCAGTGCTTAGGTTGATTTGTTAAGCTAGACTCTGTCTTAAGGGAAAGGGACTCGACTCCACTGCCTTACTTTTGAACAAATCATAGGTCTACTTGCATAGAGCATAGTCTGACTAGGAATTCTTAATGAGAATTTGCATTTGCAGTCCATCGCATCAAATAGAATGGCCATGGTTCTGTGGAAATGAGTTAGTGCATTACCTGGAATTGCGATATTGGAAGTGAGGAGATTCTTTCAGGACGAGGGATGCCATGTTTGCTCACTTATTGAGAGTAATTTTTCATCCAATGTTTCTCATTTAACAATATATAACCAGCTGGTCCGTTGATCAGTCTGTATGAATCCAATATGCACGGACTGTGTAAAGGTGTGAAGTTTAGAAGCAAAAAGGCAGCTTGAAGCTTGCCATGATAACTTTGTCGTTTGAAAAACTATAAAATAAATTTTCATCTCTTCTCTTATCTCATTATTTTTGGATTCAGTTTCACTTTCACCGTAATATAAACTACTAAACCATTTCTAAATCACTTTTAGACGATCAGTTTTAGTGTCGCGTATTGCGCATCCATAAGTGAAAAACATCAGTTTTTTGACAGCAATGCTACCTCGATTCGCGGTACAGACAAGCTAAGCACGCTTTTCTCAGATCCAACCAATATCCTCGAAATTCAGGATAAAAAAGTCCAAAATTTGTAGAGTTTACGAAGAATGCCTTTTAGTAGGTGAAAGACTGGCACATCTAATTTTTTATGCATGCCCAAAAGGGAATGCACGTAACAAGTGGTTGTTGCCAAATATAGAGATGGTCGAGACGTACCTATTCCATCCTCTTACACACTTTAACAACAAAATGGTTCTGTTTCTGACACTTCTCTTCAAATTTCTTATTTGAGCCAAAGCAACAAATCTGCTTAAAGTTTACCCTTACAAATGGCCGGTGGAGGTGAAAGGTGCTAATTTTATGTGTTTAAGATGACTTAGAACAGTTATGACGTCAAAAATGTAGACTAGGACAAAATAAAAAGCTGTCTTTGATAAAAGCGAGTCCATTTCTTAAACCTCATTATGTTCCAGGTTAATTTAATCTGTTTCTTATCAAACCAACACTTGAAACATCAAATTAGTAGATCATACCTTTGTCTTTTTTCTGGCAGTGGATTACAATCGTCGACGAAAGCCTTACCTTCCTTGATAGCAAAAGCGCACTCTGCAATTCTGTGATTTCTCCAACTATCAACATTTTGATCAGATGATGCGTTGTAAATACTCAAAGTTAATCCAACTCCAAAGTTTCGGTGTTAGATATGTGATAAAGGTTCCTTTCTGCCCTATTTTTACACTTTATTCCTTGTCTTTCATGTTGCCAACTTTTCACTTCCCTTAAGATGTCTATGGGCCTCTTCTTGAAGAGCCTCGTGGAAGATAAAATTTTCGGAGAAGGACCATTTAAACTAATTTTTGACGTGAAGACAACCAAATTTATTATCAGCAGAAGCATCAATATCAGTGGCGGATTTTACCAATCAGCAAAAGAACGGGGACGCAACGGCCAATCATGCGTCAGTAAATTTCGTGATGGAAAGAATACCAATAGGCCTGCTTTATCAATCACATTTAAAGACAACAGCATAATCTTACCTAAATTGCAAATTCACACATCTTTACTATATTGGAAAACAAAATTATTGGATACTATTGACTGTGGGAGAGAATAATAAAATTACTCACTCATTCCTTGTAGACACCTTTAGATCCTCCAAAATAAATAATAAGACCCTAAAACCCATATTTTTGTATATTTAGATCAAATGGTTATAGGACTTACTCTCATTGGGATCGCTAGTGCCTTATATTGAGATGTGGCCAATCAGAAGAAAGTTGAATATTTCATAAACAATCAACTTTACTTCGACAGGCTTTTTCATGTAAACCCAGTTAAGAGTTATAAAAGATGGTTTCAAAACACCTGCAACCTACAATTTTTGAGTTAAGTTATTTGGTTTTAAGGGGTACTGAGTTTGCAGAAAACCCTAAGTTTTTTTAAAAAACAAAATATATCCCTGTAGTCACTTGTGAAATTACGTTAGATAAGCGTAGCTCATCTACCTGGTTTTAAACTCCTAGCATGTGCAGTATTTACTCAGAAACCATATTTTTCAACAACGCTGGAACTCACAAGGGCATAATTTTTCCTCTCCTTGTAATAAAAATAACTGAAAACATTTTTATACTTTACAAAGAAGATTTTTCCGCGTGGTTTTGCCGCCTATCAAAATGCATAAACGTAATTTGGAATCTGAAATCTTGCTCCCACCTCTACCAAAGTTAGAGATGTTGTGCTTTTTTCCTTATCTGGCAGCCCAAGAAACGTCGAAAGCACTTAAAGATTGACAGAATCTGTCCCACTTAATGTGTTGAACAGTTATTAAGGGTATCTTTGCAATGTACACAAGTTTCCTGAATTTTTCAAAAAAAAATCCTCCAGCAGCATATTGCTTTGGAAATTCTTTAACCAGATCTAAGTAAAAGTAAGGGAATGAATTTGTGCTGAACATACGTCGCCATTTAATAATGGCTTTTTTACTTTAACTCCAGCAAAATCTGTGGAGAGTGGGATCACAGTGGCCTTTCAGCCCTAAGATAAATTATAAATTTAATCTAACTTGCCTATTTTTTACCCTGGCAATAGTGCGAAGAATAGTATTTGCTTTGCCTGACAGGACAACTAATTAACAAACACATAAGCAAAGAAAAAATAAATTGCTTAATTGTAGGTTGAGTCGATTGTAAAGTGTAATTGTTCTGATAAAAGGAAAACATTAAGAATATTACTTTAAACAAAACTTTTAAACTTGTCAGTCACTCCTAATATTCCGTTTTCTTGCATTAACTAAGTGAATTGTGAGCGCAAATCACGTTTTTGACTTGCATCTTTAAAGTAGTTTGTGATTTGCAAAAGTGCAACTCAATAAAATATTAAGTAGATAGCCAATCGAATCAGTGGAGGGGAGCATTGACCGATTCTTTTTAGCATTGACATTCATGCACAATAAAAAATGCCTGCAAAAACTTGGTATAAATGAGAGTACCTGTGTCCATCCTAAAGCCTTAATTTGCCAAATAAGTAAAATGAATTTATTATTTATGCACAGATGGACTAGAAGGTTATAAAAGTAGGCAGAAGAGCCTACAGCCAAATCGAGAGTACAACCTTTTAAAGATTCACAATTCTTTAAGTATCATCTACAGTTACTAAAAGTACAGAAACATTTGTCTTCAAAGTCAGTAATATATTTTGTCACTTATATTGCCTATCCAAAGTTTGTCCTCTCTATGGACGATATCGAAGGGGGGAGGGGAGGAAATAAGATGTCCTCTTAGTACTCTTGATTGATAGATCTTCAACACGAAGTGCAATTTTATGCATACAAATTACTCGCCTAAAAGCAAAACCTTGTAATGTAGATTACCAGGGCTGAGACTGAGTAGTCAGTCCTACCTATAATTGTCAAATCTACGAGTCAAACGAGTATAGAAATCAGCGAAAAAAAACGAGTTATTTGTTCTCTTACATCAGCGTCCTTGCTGGTGTCACCAGTAAAGTATCCTGAGTCTTCCCTGAAGCGATGAGTTATGCTGAAAAATTTGAACGATTGTACCGTCTGGCAGAAGCATATGGTGTCGCGATAGAAGCTGCCATGTATGAACAAGCAAAAAGCAACTTACTGAATCTGCAAAACTCAGGGACTTATTTTTTTCCCATTTTGGGTTAAGGCAACACTGGGCACATTTTCTTGTAAATTATTAAGAAAAAAACTTCTTATTCGTTTAGGCTCAATGTGCTCGCACGAGTTAATACTTCTTCGTCAGACCAAAATGTCATGAAATTTTTATGTCCAACACAAATGGCTAGCATTCACAAAAAAATTGCCTGACAGATGCTAAAAAATTAGCAACATGGCTTACTTTTATCGCATCTTAATACAACGCTTGGGGGGAGCATACTGCGTCCTTCATTGGGAGGTAAAAAGGGTTTAATTTTTCCCAAAAATCCTAAAAGATTCCCAAAAGGGATGTCGTACACCTAATCAATCTACTTTTGGCAAGGTTGGATACAATCACCCGTCATAAGCTGTTAACTAGCATCTGTCACATATTTGGAATGCAGGAATCAGGTAAGAAAATTGATTTTCACATATATGCAATTTCAATGGTAAATGTATTATCAGGAAAAAAAGTAAAAGAAATATTTTCACAAATGGCGTTATGCAAACTTGCCAACTTTGTTACCTTATAGAAGAAGAAAATAAATTTCACAGAGGTCGTGAGGTTCAGTAGATCCTTAAATGACTGCGTCTTCAGAACCGCGACCCTTATGCATTCTTGAATGGAAAACAAGGTTTAGTTGGTGACAACAGGTAGTTAATAAGTAAAGCCTGCAAGTGTCAAGTGTCACCGCTTTTTTACCCTTGGCTACTTTTAACTGGCACTATCGGTAGTAAGACGAATCAAGCACATGAAACAAATCATTTTGCTTAAAAGTTGTTATTATTGTGAGTTCCTATTAAAGAAACTTTGTAAATCCTACCTTACAAAAATGCAAAATGGGAAATATTGGGAAAGTAGAAAATATATAAAACAAAAGTGGTGCTTCCGTTCCCGCTTATGGGCCTGGACAAGTAGTATGATGTGCCACTTCCGAGAAGTAGCTCTATCGACAAGAAAAAGAATAATAGAACGTAAACAGAAAACGGAAAATTTAAAAATGTTAATTTTTGTCCATAAATCTTCATTGGTCCCTTTAAACCATAGTAAAAACCTACTTCTACTAATCTTCAGTGAGTTGCTAACTGCTGCTGAAATAATTAACAATTATTATTTGCAAAAAAAGCAAAAATTGAGGGTAATATTCGTGTCAAATGACAAATTTCACCAATTTTCTACATTCTACTCATATGTTTAAGCATTACCCTTAATAATTGAGCAAGGAGAGATGCCAGTGTGTACAGAAGTGGAGAGAAAACAAAGTAAGCCCACTTATGTTCCCTTTAATCTCTGAAGCCATTATGAAGGTTTTTCCAACTTTTTATTACCCCATTTTTAAGTGTCCAAGGGTAGACGTTAGGTTGTAAAACCAGCCATTCTATATCCGAGGTAAACTACACAATTGATGTAGTAAGGGTGTTTGTGCCTGCGAAATGTAACATTTAAATATACACCCTAAAAAGAAAATAAGTGGCACCGGTTTGCGCATCCTTCTTTTTCTGTACCATTGCTCAACAGGAAACATCTATTCACGATAAAGGCTTTACTTCAAAATACTTATTTTAAGGAGGAGAGTTGCATTTTAACTCCTTTAGTGACCACATTAACCAAATCGCTAGCGACAGAATTGGTGACAATGCCGACAAGAAGTAACGAAAACTACGCTTCACTTCCTTCAAAATTTTAAAAAGAAGAAGTCTCTTTTATATTCTTTTTTGTACTTTAAGTTTTCATCTTCGTGATCTGATACTGTGGTGGGGGCGTGTTTCTATCGAGATGAGACCACGGTAATTCAACAGCCTAAAAGCAAGATGATTACCTATACATGGGTTTGTGGGTTGCCTTCTGTAAAAATTATGTCCTTTTTAGTGTTTTAAGAAATACAAAGGATATCTGGACAAAAACAAGAAAGAGAAGGAAAACGTGTGGTAGTTTCTCCTTTTCGCATCCCATATCCTTGGATATATACTTTCACAGGGAAGCTCTCCTCCTGGAAAGCGTAATTATTTATAAGCTACAAAAAGAGCACTCTCCAAGAATGAGACACCTGGGAGGCAGTAGTTACAGAGTAGGCCAGAACTAATCCCAGATGCCAGATTTGACTGTTACTTTACAAAATAGAGGGCTCAAAAGAGAAAAGAAGTGAGAAATACGATAAAGGTTATAGCAATACCTTACAAATGACTGTGGGTTTATTTCCCTCTTTTCAAAAAGTTAGTGAAATGGCTTACCTCGAGAGGCATTCAGGATCTTCTTTGGGTGGCTTGACAAAATAGCTAAATTTGTTGCCCTCGCATCGTTAGCTTAATGTTTTCTTCAGGAGTTTCTAGGTCCACTTTACGTGAAGATGCGTCGCTTTGGACCACTGTCTGTTTATTTGCCACTTTGTTTATTGGCTATTATGTCATGGGTTGAGTAATCGGTACCTTTTGTCAAATTTCTGCTGCTTAATTTTGAAGGATGGACAGGAGCAGTCACTAACCGGTGAACACTTTTGCTAGCTTAAAAACAATCTCCAAGGCAAATGTTATTAAGGTGATCAACACCCATATTTAAAGGTAAATAAATTAGAGAGGCTCTTTAGTCTCCGTGGCTTTTGTCACCATCTTGCATTCCTGAGGGACGTTGGTTCATGTCCACAGGCACCTAGCACTAAAAACGAGCCATTTCTATTTGGTGGTTTACCTATCAACGACGTTAGTAATGACTCAAGGTCCTAAAGTGTAAAAAAATTGCATATTATGTTCAGTGGGAGAGATAGAAGGGTTATTTTACGTTTACGTTTACGGTTAAGCTCTTCGTAACTTTACTTTATCCTTTTAAGCGGCCACGTGCATTTACGGTACTTCCTGCCTGGTTGTCTGACTGTTCTGTGTGATAGGTAGATAAATGAATGACTTTAAATGAGAAATATCTCCCTTTAATTAAACGGTCATATTATTCTTCGGTCGGGGAGTGTACACTCTTTTCTCTTTTTTAGGGAATGCATCTTTCTGTATGATGCAATAGACTGCAGAAGCTATTCCTCACCGCAAAGTTGTCTGAAAATTCAGTTTTTAAGAATTGGACCCATGATCTTGAAGAAGGTAAAGTAAACAAGTAGAGAAATCGCTTCCTAGGGCAGTCAGAACTGTTGAATAGACCTGATTATTAAAGCATGAAAATTCATTAAACTTTATAAAATTTTATCTTTATCAAGACGCTATGAGGCACGGTGGCACATGTCTACCTATTCATCTATCCTCCAATTTCCTCCAGTATTAACTACGAACCGTTCCTGTTGGCTGGTTTACCAAATTAATCCATCAAAAATGACTCAAGCTCTACAACACATAAGTAGAGCTTCAATCTTTATTACGAGGGCTCTACCAGAAGATTAATACTGGACCCCCAACGCTTGCATGCAAGCATCATCAAGAACACTTTTTTGCGTATTTGTATAAAGAAAGCATTTCCTGCAGAGATATAAAACAGTGCTACTCACTTTCTTTCCGTCTTCCTTCTTTTCTTATTCATGTTCCTCTTCATTTTCATCTTCGCCTTCTTAGGCCCAAAAGAACGCCACTAGTGAGATCGCCACATGCTAGGTTCTAGCACCAAGGGTAATGAGAACGTAGGAGAAAATCTTAGTTAAGCCGCATTCAAAACTCTTTCGTGTTGGAGACAAAACAATGAAAGCAACTTAGCTAGAATCCTTACTTTCGCCTGCCAGGGCCTCCACTAAAGGAGGTTGAATGCCGACGACAAAGGGTGACATTTTGAGTAGGTGAGAGACAAAAAATGGGGTCGAGGTAGTAGAAAATACATTTGTTTGCTTATTTAGTAATTGGCTACTCGGTTGGCTTCCACATTCGCCTTCAGATTCAGCTGGAACAAAGGGGAACTGGTAACATGAAGAGGTATCCTATGAGTGACTATCTGAATTTGTCATCGACTCCTCATTACCCTACCTGTTACCCGTTATCCACTGCCCATGGACTCCTTCGAAATCGTACATAAATAAGCCGTACGGTTCCCCTCATTAAGACGGAAGTATTCTTTGTTTGAACTACTTCATGACGCCGCAATTGTCGATGAGGCATTTTCTGACTTTATTAGACGTTCACAGGAAGGATTGATTGGGCAGTGAACTAGTCTGCAGCTGTCACAAACGATTTTCTTCATAAGAAAAATCGCCGTCTTAACAGCATGAATTCTATCTTTTCAGCAGAGTTTACGAGATCCTGAAATAAAGAAGGAACTCTGACTAAAAAGCATATTTTAATGAGGATTTAAAGAAGAATGTGAAGGTAGGCGAGAGGTTTTTGGGTGACTCTTGATTAAATGCATGAGTAGAACATACTGGCATTTCAGTTTGGAAAAAATCTAGGTTTAAGGAAAAAATTACGAGTAGAAGAGGAATAAATTGTGCATATTCTATGAATCACGTGATTTCTGAGGAGCAGGTAAGTTATATTGACCTAGTTGGGGTGGACGATTGAAACAGACGCAATCAAAAAGGAGCAATGTGTTGGTATTTGGTCAGAAAAATCGCACTTTACCTAATCCTATTTCATCCCACCTTGTCTCATCCCATCTCACTTTGCACCACTTTTCCTTAACTTGCGAACATCAGCCGTAGGTGAAAACAACAAAGTGGATTCTGATGCCTTTACTAGCATTACCTCCCATCTGGATGCTCTTTGTTCAACAACAGAGTATCGAATATTAACTTGTATTTAAAAATCTTGAGTTGAATTTTGAACTGCGTAATGTATTTGTTAATAGACAAAGTGAATTGACGCATTCTGTTCCGAGTGATCGCGACTGGAGATAAGTAGAATGGGGTGAAGTGGGAGCAATCGAGGTCATTAAAGGAAATGCGCCGTGATATATTCTCTTAACACTTGATTGTGTAGACAGACATGGGAAGTCAGCAAAGCTGCTGTAAATTCAAAGGTGGACAACTGTGTTTGTAAGGTATTTTGTTGTGAAATGAGCTCCAAAAGTCTCACAAATTATGTCATTTGATGAAAGGGTATGCAATCAGCCTACTTCTCATTCTAGTTTTAACGGATGACAACCATGGAACGTTCTGTCTCTGAAAAAATAAAGCCTGTATCTTTTCTTTAATTTATAAGTGTCTTTTTAAGAAGTGATAGTAGATCTCGCATAAATAACTACTGATAGGGAAGCACAAAAGTGGAGGTCAAGACAAGGCACTTTCTTTTGTTTTTAAGGGCGGTTGAACCCGGCTTAAATTGAGTCAAAATTCTCTAATTCATCCTTAATAGACTACATCAAAACTGACAAAAATAAAACATGCGTTATTGGCAAACATAAAACACAGCAATTGGGAGGTGCATTTTCTGGGAAAGCAGGAAAACACAGTACAATTGTAATTGGTTTTTCTCATAACAGGTCACAATTACTCTCACATCTAAACGCCTCTTCTATACTTACAAGCATCTACCAGTCGGTTCGGCTTGCATTGAGACAGAGTCAGCTTCATTTGTACAGAGCACAGGAATTAGAGCTGCATAGCATTTTGAAGATCGGTCACTTATACAGACAAATTAGAACTTTAGTCTGGGCTGCTCCTGAGAGTGTTTTAAAAGAGCATATGTGGGAGCATTGCCAGCCATTCATAAAATCTAACAATTACTCCTGTCAGTGGAGGTAAAGCATATTAATTTGACTGCATTGGGTTTACTGATAAGTCGTAAAAAGGCAGCACAAACCCCTACCTTCATCATTTCTCAACTCGTAAATCCGGCGTTACTCTTAATCGAGCATGTCAGCAGCACCACACCCTTCTCCATCCATCACGGTCAGACACAGAGGCTCTCCTCTAACAAGATGCGACATTGGGATGCCATTGGTAAATACCTTTTCGGTCATTCAATTTCTCTTACCACACAGCGTGCCTCCTCCAAATTTTTCACTACTTTATTTGCTTATAATCCCAAATAAATAAATATTTTAAACGCACCGCTATTAAAAATAATTTATTACCGATCCAGCTAATTGAGCTGCTTAACTTTATGGTACAAAAATGCAATTTTTCGGGACATTTTTGAATATCAAATGGATTTAGTAGCACATATCCTCAGTAAAATGAGAAATAAATCGAATAAATATTCTGTCTCAACAAAATTAACCTTTTAGAAATTTGACCTAGTTCATTGTAATTTTTCGGAAGCAAAAGGGAAAAACAGGCTAGAAAAATTTTGAAATATAAGCAGTAACATTGACATTAATTTTGCCGGCAGTACTAATTCTCTGCAACTTCAAAAAACGAAATTGTAGTTTTCTTCTTATGGAAAGAGACATTGTACTCACTAATTACACATTTATTATGCATATATGAACTTAACGAAGCTGCCTCTTGGCAAGTTTTACCACCCTAGGGCTATTCGTAAAGTTCATTCGCCAAATCATGCCTTCTGTTAAAAAAAATTAAAGAAATTCAAATAAGTTCTTAAATTTAACGAGTGTGTTTTGAAAATGCTTGCTACCCTCAGAACTAATGAGAAACTCACCAATGCATCTCTTTTAGAGGGAAAAGAAGCAGAAGGAATTAAGCACCTATCAGCCATTCTCACATGTGCATAAATGACTGTCTACTTGCGGGACCAGAAAAAATAAGGTTTCAACTTCAATCAAATTTCTAGTGAAGGGTGTGGTCTTCTCTCACTTTAATGACGTTGTTTGATTAGACTAGCTTATGACCTTTTTTAAGAGCCAAATTTGGCTCCTATATATAGTTGAGATGCATCGTGTCGGAGTGATGGGCCACTCATCCTAAGTTGCTTCTAATCTTCCTCAAACGGTGGTAGTTTGTGACACACTTCCCACACCCGAAGCAAGAATTGGTCTTGGGTGGGTGATTGAGTTCTGCGTGTTTATATATGCCAAAAATTGCCGGGTTGGATGAGGGCAACAATAGCCTTCTCTGCTTTGCGTGTGTGTTCTCTTCTTCTACTTTAAAAGTGTGACCACAGACACCGTTTACACAGAAATGGCATGGATGAGGAAAAGGCTCAATTGGACTTTTATTTTTGTCTCATATATACCCATCAACAGAAGGGTAAAAGACCCACAACGGTGGTTGTGTGAGACTGCGGTTCTGCTATGACTCTATCAAGCCTTATTAATCATTAGATTGTTCTTTGGATTAGGATTTCACAATCGTAAAATTACAAAAAGGAGGACAATTGCTATTCTGGAAGAACAAAATTTTTTAGACTGTTAAGTTAATATGAGAAAAAATCTTGTATTTTGGCCAACAAAAGAACATATTTGGGCCAAATGATGGCCTGTTGAAAAAAAAATCAAGGAAAGTCCAAATCTTCCAAAAAAGTTGGTTAAAGATTCAATGTATTTCGCCGTCTGTGCATCAAAAGGCTTCTGCCCACATAGCATCATCGCCTCAGTCATTGAGTCCAAAAAGGAGATAATGTTTCATTCAATGTCCTGACTTCGCTAAACCGAGAGACGAAAAAAACTTATTCAATTGCATAATCCTAATGCCATACAAAAATGTTTACCTATTTAGGAGAATAATAAGCTTCTTTCTCATCCCTTTTCTAGCACTCAGTTGAATAGGTGAAAGGAAAAAGGCCTCTTAAAATTACTTTATTTGTTAACAATGTGTAGCCCTTTTCCAATGAAATAAAGGGTTTCCACCTCATCTTCTGCTAAAACTTTTGTTTGTAGAGCCAAAAATATGCCTTTATCCATCTTTTCAGTATCATTTTTGCATATCATTATGTGATGGTCTGTTGCTGATGACAAGAATAAATGCCATTGGCCAGCCGGTGAATGATCCATAGGAGAATACAGAAGAGAGGGTGCCAGTGTCTCCCTATCTCTTTCCCTCCTTTTTTCCATCGCTCCTTTCGCCCCCCTCTCTCATCCGTAAAGGAGTGTGAATTCCTTTCACCAGTGGGTACGAGGACTTGGATTGTGATACTTTGTAAAGAAAACCTCCTTTTGGCTTATTTTGTAGTGCTCGCGACAACCACAAGGTGCTTCCTACTGAGCAGGTTCCAATCGGAAATGCCACAGTTTTTTAGAGTAAGGTAATGCATGCCTTTGAGATGGGCTGTAAAAGCATCGTCTGAAATAATCAACAATATTAACTCATGAGGTGGCAGACAATCTCAAAGGCACAACACATCTCCAAAGCGTCAGAGCTTAAAGAAAGGACACATCAAGAAATTCTTCGTCATTCGTTCCTTAAAGTTGTTCGCATTCAATTTTGACAGATTCTTTGACAATAAAGACAATATTTAAATAATCGAGTGTTTTCAAGCAATATTCAAAATTGTTGGACAAGTCATACAACGATTATAAATTATAAATGCCTTAGGGAAATTGAGAAAGGCAGTTCTATCCCAAATCGTGTAACCCCGTCACGTGATCCACTTTCCCGTTTTACCATGTTGACCATGTTTTTAACACAAAAAGTACTAAGAAAGCATGTTTAATAAGGCGACAGATAATTTAACATAATTTTCGACTTTTTTGTGCCTTAGAAAATAGCTTTCTTGATAGCAAGACGGCATTTTTGAGTGCGTTGTCTATGTCCCCTCTGCCTTTGGATATTTCATATACTCACGAGGAGCATCCATGCCAACTAGGGACTTTTAATATGACAGGTGCATGAAGAAGAACTGCCAAGGTGCATGACGTGGGGCACTTTAGATGGCAGAAGAAGGTGGTCGTGCTTGTGTATCACATTGTGGGAGAAATAGATAACCACTTGTACGGGCGAATTAGAGCACGCCGCAGTGGGATGAAAGTCATCTTGAAGATGTAGGTATTTTAAAGGGTGACGACAGCCGTGTCTGTGAGACGTCTGACATAGACAAACTGGTTAACTCATAATTATTTCATCATGAAAATTTCAGGTTGGATAGTCTTTCCACAAGAACTACCTATGCTCGAAATGTCGAAAGTTACCGAACGCTAGAGTAAAGTGAATATTAATAACTGACTCGGCTTTAAAAGAGCGATAGCTGTGCTAAGTAAATGCTTTTAGGGAAATGACTGATTAACTGAACTTTCACATATTACGAAGTCCCACCTTCATTTAAACAAAAAACTACTTTACTCCAAAGTTTTGTTGTGAGCCTTGATTTTTTGTATTTATGCAATTTAAGGTGTCCAAAGGCATCCATTTCTCTTCTCTTCATCCACTTACACCACGAAAGTATGCAGAGTGGTCTCCCTCATGACCATCTTTGATAATAAGGACCCATTTGTCTATTGAGCTGGGAAAAAATCAGCTCTTAGAATCTCTCTGTTTCCTTAGAGGATGCCCACAAAACCATAAAAGTGAGAAATCTTTATATTAGTGCAAAATCAAGGAGACCTAAAGGTAGTGCGTTATTGACCTAACCTTGATATGTGTTTTCTACTGGGCACTTTTAATCGTCCTCTCGTATCACTTTTGGCATTATTCAAGCCTTAAATCTTAAGATATCGGTTAAAATTGAGTTAGGAGATTTGAGCTTGTCTATAAGGCAAATCAAGTTGACAACAATTTCGGATCTGTAAGATCTGGTTTGGTTTTTTCCCACTTTCCAACTAAGTAGCGACTCACTTCTTGTCGATGAAAATCCGGACCGTCACTATTAGCATACTTTTTCGTAATGAAATAATTCAAGGCCAAATAGTGGGCACTTTTAACTTAAAGACTACCGTAAAAGTAAAAAAATGTGAAATCTAGGCGATGGGGCTCCTACTCGTGTGTGATGGGCTGCAGGGACTGTCGAGCAGCCCCTTTTTAGATTAACTTACCCTCTGATTTTACTTATGGGGGAAATGGCCTCTGCATCCGGACATTACACAAATGATTACACCAAGGGTTACCCCGAATGGTGTTTTTACCAATCCCTAGCCTACATTTCCAAGGTGTGCATCACCTCTTCTCCGAATACCTACTTAGGCTTTATGCGTGTGTGCATGTGTGAATTTCTTGCTTACACATACCAGGCAGGGAATTACCACTGCCTAGGGTAAACCAGGTAGAAATTGAGATTTACTGAGCAGAAAATTTCATTCTGGCGTGACGGCACATAACTTTGGACGGCCGCAGCATTGTAGATATAGGTTGTAACTGTCACAAAACTGCCCCTATTTGCATAAAATGAATAAAGCGTGTGTGAATCCTGTGGAGCTTTGACAAGTCACGCACAATTTTGCTACATCTGGTCAAATAAATGACCTCCTAAGCAATCATGTCAGTAAGTTAAGGCTGCAATGAGATTATAAAGATATGCATTTTTTCTGTTGAAAAAATATTGGCAAGAAAGATTAAATAAAAAGATAAAACAAAGGTAAAATCTTATCACGAAAAGTAAAATAGACTTTATAGCAAAGGCTTCAAGAGCTCGATAAGAGAATAAGTGGAAGAGATTAGGAAGACATTAAATGACAAATCCATAATTATGAGAATTTGATCAAATGATTTGTACATCCTTGTGTGAATTTAAGTAAAAATAACTTGAGCATGACTACAGGGTGTTGAACTGCTTAAGTATTTATTAAGTAGAAATGGCTCTAGAAGATATTGTTAGCCTGAAATTCTCTACCTGTACCTTCGTTCCCATTACATCTACATGCTTTACATCTTAAAAGTTCCTTGATTCTCTTGCTCTTACCTTAAAATATCAGACATGGGAGAGAAAAATCTGTAGGCAACAAATATTTGGTAAACTACACAGCATGCAAGAACTTTAAACAAACACGCGGCTGGTGTAATTTACAACAGGAGCTCCATCTCACCCTATTTAATGCCATTTTATTTTATTTCAGATTAAGCTACTCCAAGCGTTTCTTCTCAAACAAATTACTTAAAGCTAGAAAACGATAGATAAAAGTCATTTGAGAACCACTCTAGCAGCACGCATTAAAAAACTTAGGGTGTTTCCTTTTTAATTGAGGCAAAGAACATTGAATAATTGCCCTAACCTAAAGTAGGGTGCTTGGTTTTGGATTCATATAGAGATTGATAAGTCAGCTGCCTCCTTTTTTTAAAAAAGCTGAAAACTTTGCTGCATAATTAAAAGTTTTCTCTAAAATTTAAAGTGGATCAAATTGTTTTTAAATGGATATTTAAGTAGGGAGTATTTTTCTTACAAAGACTTTGCAATGTCCTTTTCTTTATCCTCTTTTTACATCTAAATCCACGACTGATGTGAAAAGTGTTCAGAATTGTGCCGTCACTTTCAAAAATCAGTTTTGATAGATAAGGAAGCGTAGTTGCCTCTCACAAGTCATTTGTGCCATTGAGTCAATCGGAAAAGTTCTCGCACATTCCAAACGTCGAGTCAACTCGTAGCTATTCTTCCCTCCGAGATAAATACTTTTCCAGAAGTAAAGTCACTCTCCTTTGATTAGATAATTCTAAAAGCCGTGCTTACTTTGTAACTCAGCTGTTGGAAGGCGCCAGATGAATTTGCCATGATTCTTTTTCTTTTAAACCATATATCTTTTATACCACAACCGGTGGTTGATTTTTTGTCCTCTACTTCTTTGGTCAAATTAATTAATCGACTTTACTTTTCATTTGGCAGCGAATTTTAGGCGCTGGTATGCAAAATCACCTCCATTACTCCAGTGCTTTTACTGCGGGAAAAACAATGAACCATGTCGGAAGCATTTCCTGATCTCTTTTATTTTGCCTGAATAGTATGATGTAAAGTTACACATACATCTGACCTTTGATCTAAACAGTCATTAGGAATGGACTTCATAAAAATTTTAATAATTATGCGTCTATTTTTAGCTTAAATAGCCAAATAGCCAATTTAGTTGTTGTTGGGTTTGTCTTAGAGATCTCAAATCGAATAATTTATAGGTGGCTGCCATTTTCCCCTCTTCCTATTGACCTGTTCTAAAACGAACTCTATATTTAGATGACAAAATTTAGCGATAAAAGAATTCGTAACCCATGTTTTAGAGACTTTTATTGTGCTCGTCGACTTCTTATCTGTACTTTTCAGTTAAAACATCCCCTTTTAGCTGTTTTTCCCTAATGCTATCTCTCATTAGCGGTTTCACTGTGTTCCACCCAATTATTAATTACAGTGTTAACATGCTTCGTCAACAAGGCACCAGAACTATAATTAGGAAAGTGCGGACTGAAGGTTTAAATAATTTCATCGTATTCTACCACAACTTTGGTCCTTTCATCAAAACGTTTACTTTTTTCAAGCAACGTATCTCTAAAGAAATTCTACTTGTTTACCTTGACACATGTATTCAGGTTCCCAAAAATTCATCAAACGCATTCATTTAGGTCAATGAAAAAGATTAATGCACTATTTAATGTTATGGTAACAAAATACTCCATATTTACATTTAACACAATTCCTCTCGAGGTTGATTTCACCTCGTCTGAAACATTTAAGTTTCATTTTGCACCGGGGGCTCCACCTGCGACTCACTCTTACCCTCATTGGTCAGTTGAGGAACAGGGGTGGGAAGGACCGGTACACCAATGCTGGAAGAGACAATGGGTTCCACAGCATCTGTGGTCGATTTCACCAAACTCCAACGTGCAAGTAGACGTCGAATAAAGCGTTGATAAGCCGAACAAGTTATTATGAGAAGTAGAGGCTCACTGACAGTGTTAGAGATGCCCAGACAAAGGGCGTAATCTTGTAGAGTCTCCGCAGTATCTCCACGAACGTCAAAAATTTTGGTGAGGATATTGCAGAGGTGATTGGGAAACCAGGACAGCACGAAGAGGGTCGTCATTAGCACGCATAGACGAATGAGGCGTTGACGGCGACGTCTCCACTTTGCGCTGATTGCATGTCCCATGAGACTAAGCATTTGATGAGAACGACGCAGTTGTTGGGTAACTATATGATGACTTAGACAAATGACTATCAGAGGAATGAAGTAGATGGTGATGATCAGAGTCAAATCGTAGGCCATTTTGGCTCGACTGGACC